AAAGGTGCTGTCCTCATTTTGCAATGAAACATCCACCCAGGGCCTTTATTTATAGTATGCCAGCTGTTGAGGACAAAAGCTAAGAAACAAATTGGTTTCAGTGACACCAAGTGGTTCAGCATTAAAAGCCACAAGTTCTTCATTTGGATCACAATTTGCCTGACATACTGGAGGAAAACCATGAGTTTTCAAAAGCAGCCTTTCCAGGAAAACACCAAACACATCTTTTCCAGGACCTTGTAAACAAGCTTTTAAAAAAATAAGCCTCTTCATGGTAAGCTCCACAGGCAGTTTGTTGACCAGTATCTACTTGGATGTCGGAAGTACTCAGGAGAGAAGAATGGCTCCATGAAACTGTCATGAGATAAAACGGATTGTCCGGGCTTGTATTTCTAAAGGGTTACTACTACCTCCATTGATCAAAACCAGGACAGGTCTGGGAACACAGCTCAATCAGTAAAGTATTTGCAAGTGTGACAACATGAGTTCAATATTTGAACCCACATGAAAATGCTAGGTCCTTGTAATTCCAGGACTAGGGAGATAACGACAGCAGGATCTCTGACATTCCTGATCAGAGAGTCTAGCCTAATTGATGAGTTCCAGCCAATAAGAGACCATCCCAAAGGAGGTGGACAGTGGTCCTAAAGGTAACACTTGAAAATTATCCTTGGACCTCCATGGGCATATGCATTTCATTCATGCACACATGAACATGTTTATGCACGCGCGCACACACACACCATACACACACTGTAGATGCATTAAAAGAAAAAAAAAAGTCCAATCCTGGAAAAAAAGGAGCCACATATTTTACTTCCAAAAGCCGAAGAAAATTTTCTGTTATGAAATAACACAAGTAAGCCTGGAGAGATGGCTTAGCAATTTAAAAAAACCTGTTGCTCTTCTAGAGGACCCAGGCTCAGTTTTCAGCACCCTCCCAGTGGTTAACAACCACTTGTAACTCCAGTTACAGGGAATGTGATACCCTCTTCTGACCTCTTTGAGCACCAGGCATGCTTGAGTATACAGACATACATGCAGGCAAAGCACCATGGACAATACCACTTCTTACACAAAGGTGGAATAAGCTAACCATGTGACCACAGAATGTTAGGGCAATGCCATGGAGGGTATGGTTCTCCATTAACATTTGAGACTGGGCCTGACAATTGGACAAGAGATGATGCATATATTAAATGCTTGTTCATTTCTTAATAGTCAGAATAACTGGAATACTCAGATAACAGTTTTATTTAACAAAGGATATAGTCATTAACCTCCAACAGTCTTTAAAATCCCCTCTATCTTTCAGTAATAACAATTTTAAAAAATGAACTACTTTTGTAATTGAAAAAAAAGTTATGTGTGTGGGAGAGAGAGATCTTCAATTTGCCTCAAACTTCTGAGTGCTGGGATTATAGGTATATACCACCATACCAGTCTCTTATCTGTTTTTGATGGGTTTCAGTATGCAGCACTGGCTGGCCTGGAACTCAGTATGAAAAACCAGGTTGGCCTAAAATTCACAGAGATCTGCCTGCCTCTGCCTCCTGAATGCTTGATTAAAGGCTTATGCCACCATGCCAGACCACACCAGTCTTAAGTTATTTTTAATTAAATAAAATGTGATCTTAAGGTCTTCAGAAAGAAGACATTTGGCTAGAGAGAAAACTTCCATTCATATAGATTTTACTTTTGCCATTGATATTACCATTAAAGGTGAAAATGGAAAATCTTGCAAATGATGGCACTCTTTCAGATTTTGTGTATGTGTTTCTGTGTGTGTATATGTATACATATATGTACATGGAAGGTTGTTTAAGGGTTTTTTAATTTGTTTTGTTTCAGGAATTATAAACTTGAGTTAACATTTTATGTCACAATTACTTAATACAATAAATAATACAATCATATTAATGGAAAAAAATTCAATATCCATTTATAGTAAAAACTCAGCAAAACAGGAGTATTTTCCTATTACAATGTATTGGGCATCTCAAGAGAAATACAGTGATATGGGAAGTGGATTTGGATTCATTTTTAACTGTATATATTAGGTAGCCAGGAAAAAGTTTATGAAGGAAACATAATTCATAATGGAGAAAGAAAGAAATGATTCATATATTCAATTAATACAGACGAGGCAAAAAATGGTGGTAGAAAAAAGCAAGACAAGCAATAAATAGTAACTAGTGCTACAAATGTCAGGTAATGGTGAAAAGTATCAATGCTTGTTTTATTTTTGAGACAGATCTCATATAACCCAAGCTGTCCTCAAGCTGTGGAACTGAGGGTGACCTTGAACTCCTGGTTTTTCTGCCTCCACCTCAGTTTGTAAGCTTCAGTTAGTAGAGGACATGCATGTCACTACACCAGCATAAAAATGTGGTGCTGAGGCCCAAACTACGTCAGGCAAATACTCTAACTCTTACTCCCATCTTTGTTTACCTTAGACTTTTTTTTTTTTATTTTTTTTATCTCAGCTCTTTACTTTAAGCAAGTCCCAAGCTTTCATGTTTCACAGTTCATTTGTTTGCTTGATACTTAACACCTACAATGGCTGAGGAAAACATTTTTTTTTTAAATTAGTAATTTTTTTTAAATTACTCTTCTTTTTTTATTTTATTATTTTTTAAAGATTTTATTTATTTATTATGTATACAGTCTATACAGTCTTCTGCCTGCATGCCAGCAGAGGGCACCAGATCTCATTCAAGAGGGTTGTGAGCCACCATGTGGTTGCTGGGAACTCAGGACCTCTGGAAGAACAGTCAGTGCTCTTAACCATTGAGCCATCTCTCCAGCCACCCTCCCCCCTCTTTTTTTTCCCCCAAGACAGGATTTCTTTGTATAGCCCTGTCTGTCCTGGAACTCACTCTGTAGGCTGACCTCAGACTCTCAGAATTCTGCCTGCCTCTGCCACCCAGGAGCTGGGATTAAAGGTGTGTGCCATCACCACCCAGCAAAGCTGAGGATAATTTTGACTCACCCATTTCAGGGCTCACTTTTTCTCTGGTTAGATAGTAAGCTATTACTTAGTTTCTAGTTATTGGAACTTGCTTATTGGAACTTGTAATACTTGAAAAAGAAGGCTCAATGTAAAGAACCATGGCTCTGTATCAAGGGATTCTTAGCCCAAATGAGACATCCATTTAAAAAAAAAATAATAAAAAATAAATAAAATTGGCAAGCACAAATCAAGGAGACAGATGGTCACATGAGTTGCATCAAGACATGTTGAATATACCTTTGCTTTAGAACTCTACATACTGCTCTTCAATATATGTCTTTTGAAATGGTCTGTAGGGAAGTTTATTCTTATTTTTGTGCCTGTCACTTTTATCCTGGGACTTTTAGGTAGCCTCTTTACTGATCCATTTCCAGACAGCTTGGCTATCAGTAGATGACCCTTGTGATAAATGTTAGTGATTTATGAGGTTTTCTATTTCCATTTTTTTCTTTTCTCAAAGCATGTTAGATCCTTTTCTTGTACCAGAGCACTGCACTGAAACATGTTAGGCCAAACCCTAATGAATTTTTATTCTTGATAAACTTGGGATGGGTAAATGACACAATAAAATTTAGCATGTTTTATCCGTATTCCATTGCCATTATCAGCATGCTAAATGAAATTATGTTGGCTGTCAGAAGGTGATGGCTCTGAGCCTTTAATCCTAGCATTTGGGAGGCAGAAGCAGGTGGATCTCTGAGTTTGCAGCCAGCTTGGGCTATTACACAGAAAAACCCTGTCTCAAGAAAACCAAAAAAGAAAGAAATTATGTTGACACTGGGCATAGTGGTGCACTCCTTTAATCCCAGCAATTTGGGAGGCAGAGGCAGACCTCTGAATATTGGAGGTCAGCCTGGTGTACATATCAAGTTTCAGAGTAGCCAACGCCGTAGAGTAAGACCCTATCTCTAAAAAAATAGAATTGGGATTATTCAGAATCTTCAAGGTACTATCCTGTTTGTTACCCCCTCCCCAGAACTCCTTCAAACTGGCAATTTTTTCAACACTTTATATTTTAAATTATCTTCTAAATTACCAAAGCAAAGCATTGTGGGCTCTTTGCAGCTGAGGAAATCAAAGTTCAAAGCTGTCCAGTCTCGGTGGGTGACAGCTACTAGGGATACTGAGGCAAGCGGACCCTAAGTGTAAGGCCTGCAGGGGGCTTCAGGGTAAGTTCAAGGTTAGCCTGGGTCAATCTCTGTTTTAAAATAAAGTTTAAAAAGGATAGGGGCCTGGGTACAGCTCAGTGGTACAGTGTCTATGTGTGAAGCCATAGGTTCACCCTCAGTAACAAAGGAAAAACTTTGGCACAATTATCCTATTAAGTGGCAGTTTTGGAAAGAGCTCGACCTTTCAGATTTTGAATCTACAATTCGCCACTCAGTGATGGTTACAAGACATTTGCCATTGGTGCAGGCCCAGTGTGAGGTCCTGTGAAGGAAATCAGATCGATATCAGCAGTGGGTCCCAATCATTCTATTGGACTGCACCTGTGGGGTACATTGATCCTCATGCCCCTAGAATAATTTGGGTTGCACATGAGCAACCAGGCTAACCTGGCCTGAACTTGCGATTGCACAAGACACCTCTTATAGACCATAGGCCTAAAGTAGGCCTGGGACTCGAAGCCTCTCATTCACTTCACCCTGTCGGATAAAAACCTCAGGCCCACAGCACCTGCGTGTTCCCGCATCCCATGACCGACTCCCGGATGTTCCCGCCTCTGTTTTGAAATCATCAGGTACCTCGGAGGCTATCCTACTGCTGCAACTGACCCTACCAACATGCGGGCACTCACCACTGAGACCCAGCCAGCGGAACCGGAAATAGCCACTTGTAGAAGCTCAGGAGTAACTACGTCTCTCATTTGCTAGGTGCGATTCTGGTCCTCAGGAAGCTGCTCAATTGGCCTATTGAAGAGGGACCGCCGCCTTGGGAGCGCTTTGGCCAATCAGAATGCAGGATGGTTGAGCCGGAGGGCGCGTCGCTTCCGGCGGTTTCCCCACAGCTACTGCGTGGGGAGCATGGGAGCGTGGGAGTTTTGTGGAGGCCTCCGCCTCCTTTGTCGCGTCTCGGCTGGGCGTGGCTTCGTGCCGCTTCTGCCGAGTAGGGCGAGACTGTCAGTGCTCCAGGGCTGCTGAGTGGGTCCGTTTCAAGGCTGTTTTGGAGAAAGAAGCCGAGATTCTCAAAGGAGCTTGAGGGTTTCGAGGAACCTCAGCGGGGTGTGGAAAGGCCTGGCAGCCGAGATTCTAGAGACTGTTATCCCCACTCGAAGTGTTGTCCCATCGTGGGGACTTGAAGAAGGACCCCTTCGCTTTCCCAGATGGCGTCCACGCTCCCCGCATCAGATGACCAGGTGAATTCTGTCGCTGTTTGCTACAAGTGCCCTGACCTCCTCGCAGGAGGGACAGACACGCAGGTCCTGACTCGCGTGTGCCTCCTCAGATAACCCTTTCACCAAGCTGTCTTCTTTTCAGACTTACCAGATGGGGAGGAGAGCCCTTGACAAGGGGTCTGTAACACTTTCTCAAAGTGTCTTGCTGGAATGCTTCTCCAAGTGGCAGATTTCTAGGCTCTACACCTGTTGAATAGTGATAATTAAGTGCAGGTGATTTTTAATCACAGCAAAAGCTCTGTGGGTTTATAGGAACGGTAAACTTAGGTGGTGGACGATGCTGAGCAAACACAGTGATGAGGAAGACAGACAAGACTGCAAAGGTTGTAGGGAACTCCTGAAAATATCTCAAGATTCCTACTGGACTGCCTAGTCGTTTTTTCTTCTTTCCCCTTTCCTCCCCCCTCAGAGCACCCTTACCCTAAAGATTTCTCTCCCCAAAAATTGTTCACTCGGGGGGGGGGGGGGGGGGGGGGGGGGGGGGCGGGAGGGGATGGCTGAAGAGATGCCTCAGCGGTTAAGAGCGGTGTGTGCTTCCAGGGGGCCTGAGTTCAATTCCCAGCAACCACATGGTGGCTCACAACCACCTTGAATGAGATCTGGTGCCCTCTGCTGGCGTGCAGGCACAAGACTGTATACATAATAAGTAAAAAAAAAAAATTTTCTGCTTCATCTTATAAAAAAAAAAAAGAATTGTTCACTCATCTTTTCAGGAAAGGCTACATTGTCTCGGTGTACTGCCTTCTCACACCACTGTTTCAAAATTTACGTTTATGCTTTCCCTTCTGACCTTACTCGTAGAATCCCTTGCTGAGGAATATTTTACACCAAGCCTTTTCTTTTTGATATGTGAAAGGGTTTAGCTTTTTTCAGCCTTCCTGTAATAACACTCTTATACTAACAGGGCTCTCCTGTTTCAGGGACCACTGTTGTTTGAAGATCTGGACGTGTATTTTTCTCAAGAGGAATGTGTGAGTCTACACCCTGCCCAGAAGACCAACAGTAGAGAAGCCACACTGGAGTGTTTTGAGGATTTGGATTTGATAGGTAAGACAATTCTCCTGCATTATGGAACTTTCATCATTTGTAGGATGAAATTTTATTACTTGTTCACATTGGTGTGTGTGATTTATGTTTGTGTGTATGTATATATGGTCTTATATGACTATAGCAAGAATTTGAATGAGACAAGTTTCAAAGTCTGCAATTTCTTTTCTTGTGAGAGCATGTGAGTACTAGTGTGCATAACCGTGTTCTCGTGTGTGTGTGTGTGTGTGTGTGTGTGTGTGTGTGTGTGTGTGTGTGTGTGTCAGTCACTCTCCACTCTATTTACTGAAGTCTGGCTAGCTAGCTTGCCTTGGGATCCTCTATTTCCACATCCTGAGTGCTGGGGTAACAGGTGCCACAGCATCTATTTGGCTTTCGTTGGGTGCTGGGATCCAAACTCCTGTCATTAGTTTACATAGCAAACATTTTATCTGCTGAGCCATCTCCTGAACCTTGAAATGATTTTTTAAATATTTTATTTATTTATTATGTATACAACATTCTGCTTCCATGTGGTTGTGAGCCACCATGTGGTTGCTGGGAATTGAACTCAGGACCTCTGGAAGAGCAGTCAGTGCTCTTAACCTCTGCGCCATCTCTCCAGCCCCCAGTGATTTCTTAAAAGAAACCAAGTCTACAACTGTGACCATGGTCTCACATACTATGTATCAATACTTTGTAATCTCCTGAAATATTTGTTGGAGTCAAATTAGTTTTACTTGAAAAACTTCATTAGTATAGGTTATTGTCATTTGCTAAAGATTGGGAATGTATTTTCTCTTAGGGGGGTATTGTGACTTTTCTCACTTAGGGGTAACCATATGCAGTATCCCTATGCCTGAATAGACATCATATCTTTTCTAGGGTTGGGTACCTAAACTATTTTTCATAATTCATGGCTTATATTTTCTACTTCTGTCATGTTTATGTTCTTCTCCAGCTTCTCTTGAGCAAGTTTATTTATATATATTTATATTTATAAGTGTATTATAAAACAAATAAATATATTTATAAATATATAGTATATTTGTTGTTTTTGTTTTTTAGCCAGGGTTTCTCTGTGTAACAGCTCTGAGTGTTCTGGAACTCACTCTGTAGACCAGGCTAGCTTCAAACTTAAGAGATCCACCTGCCTTTGCCTCCTGAGTGCTGGAATTAAAGGCGTGTGGACATGCTAATTATAATAATCTATGACATTTCTAGGTCTTTTTTTTTTTTAAGATTTTATTTATTTATTTACTGTGTATACAGTCTTGTGCCTGCATGCCAGCAGAGGGCACCAGATCTCATTCAAGGTGGTTGTGAGCTACCATGTGGTTGCTGGGGATTGAACTCAGGACCTATGGAAGAACAGTCAGTGCTCTTAACCTCTGAGCCATCTCTCCAGCCCCTCTAGGCCTGTTTCTATTGATTGATTTTTTTCCTTGTTATTAGTTGTGAATTTCATTAGTTTGAATGGATTTTTAGACGTTGGTTATTTTATGTATTTGTTTTAACTTGTAATTTTTAAAGATTTACTTTGTTTTTGTGTATATGAATATTTGCCTTCATGTGTCTGTGCACCATGTGCATTCCTGGTGCCTGAGGACATCAGAAGAGGGTGTTGGGTCCCATGGAACTGAAGTTACAGATGCTTGTGAGTTGCCATGTGGCTGGGAATTAAACCCAGATCCTCTGCATCTCTGTAGGCCCTACAGATGTGACTTAAAAAAGAAAGAAAGAAAATCTTTAATTTGCAATTAGTTGAATCTGTAGGTATTCACCTATGGATATTTAGTGATGGCTATATTAGGGAAGATATTTAAAAGGAATTCTTTATGCTAGGTTTAGGTTTTGTTAGCCCTTGAGATAAGACAGTCATCATTTGTCTGTAGTCTATATACAACACCTTTATCATGATCATTCTTCTATGAAGGATGACATTTTAGAGACCCTCTAGGATACAGAACTACTTTTTAGTAATTCGGATGTTTACTAAAGAATAAAAATCTTTGTTTTCTTTCTTTTCTGATAAGTCTGTCTAATCTCCATTCTGGTTTTGACTACTTGACTCTCATTTGAGATAATGAAAAATTCCTAAGACCTAAATAGACTAAACAGAAAAAACTACATTTCTAGGTACTGCCAATCAAGATTGTCCTCAGTACCCATCTCACCAAACCCTGTCTTAGAGTCATTCTTTGCTCCTTCTCTTTGCAGATTGACCTGGAACCTTGCAGTCCACCCACACGGATAGACTTTTGATTTTGGGAAGTCAAGAGAGCCTGTTGGCTCCTGATTTTTGTATATTTATTAGTGTCTGGGTAATAAGCTAACCCATTTTCAGTTTCTGGTCTTCAGTGTAACTACTTTAACTTGTTCTATCTCTAGTGTCAGCTAAAGGTGGTGTCTATGTTTTCCTTTGTTTTGCTTTTATCAACAGGAGGGGAAGACAAGACTGAGAACAATCAGCAGTTAAGCCTAGAGTCTATGGAACTTGAAGAGCTGTCCCTAGAAACATACTCCATTGCTGCACCCCTTGTCCATTACTCTGATAAATCTGAGGATGATGTTGGAACACATGAAAGCAAAATGTCAAGTGAAAATTTAACTTGCAAGACTAAGGTTATAAGCCTCTTGGTTACTATTGAAAACCAAACCCCATTAGTAGAATTATCTCAATGTTTAGGAGTCAAAACACTTTCTGATATTATTGAAGTTCCCTGGGAAGAAGCCAAAAATGAGTACAAGTGTCCTGACTGTGACCAAAGTTTCAATGATAATACATACCTTGTTTTGCATCAGAAAATTCATTCAAGAGAGAAAAAGTACAAATGTAGTACCTGTGAGAAGACCTTCAGTCACAGAACCAACCTGAGGACACATAAGAGAATCCACACTGGCGAGAAGCCTTACAAGTGTACCAAGTGTGGAGCCAGCTTCCGGCAGCAGTCACACCTGTCCCGACACATGAAGAGCCATATAAAGGAAAAACCATATACATGTTATGTATGTGGGAGAGGTTTTATGTGGCTCCCAGGATTGGCAGAACACCAGAAGAGTCATACTGATAAAACTTCTTATCAGTGTGCTGACCGTGATCAACATTATTGTCAGGAAACAAATCTGGCTTTGCCGGAAAGAGCAGGCTCATCAGACACTCCATACCAGCACACACAGTGTGTGAAGAGCCCGGAGCAGCCCTCATACCCTGCTCTCCCTGAGAAGGACCACGAGGAGGAGTCCAAGAACTGCAGTATTGATGACGACGACTTTTTTTCATTCTCCAGATTTAAACCCTTACAATGTCTTGATTGTGACATGACTTTTCCTTGTTTCTCGGAGCTTGTTTCTCATCAAACCATTCATGACATGGAAAAACCTCATAAATGTAAAACATGTGCAAAAACTTTTGCTTTAGATTCAGAACTTGCATCCCATGAGAAGACCCACATGAGAGAAGAACCTTTCAAATGTACGGTGTGTGGGAAGAGCTTTAAAGTGAATATGCATCTCATCACTCATAAACGAACCCATAGGAGAAACACCAAGTAAATACAAGCTTTTGCTGCTACTGTGTGGGCTTTTTAGTATCTTTATGATGGGAAACACTGCTTATGTGCGGGGCACTAGGCTAATCAAGCACTTTACACACATTCCATGTAATGTCGGCAGTATTATTTATTACACCTGATTTAGAACAGAAGAGACTTAACCAATGTTACATAGATAACATGTGAAGCCAAGATTTGAACTCAGCTACTTGATCAAATTCCGTTTATATGAGCCAGAGAAACATGAAACTTTAAAATTCAGCTTTTGACTGCTGGGTGTGGTGGCACTCAGGCAGTAGAAACAGGTGGATCTCTGAGCTCCAGGCCAGCCTGGTCTACACAGTGAGTTCCAGGACAGCCAGGGCTACATAGTGGGACTCGGTCTCAAAACAACAAAAAAGCCAAAATAATTTAGTTTTTGTTAAAATGAAGGTTATTAGAATTTTTTTTTCCAAATTTGGTTTCTAAGAATTTTAGGAAGAGGAAATTTTATTTTATTTTGCCAGTTTTGTACATGTAGTATCTAGGAAAATGAATGTATTTGTTTTTATACTTTTCATGCTAAAACTATTTCATTGTAATGTTTGTATAGAATGTTTTGTTTTAATGTGAATTTCTAGTTTAGAACTCCATATAAAGCTACCAAATGAGCCAGCTTTTGTTTTTTTAAGTGTGTGTGGAGGTTCTTGCTGTGTAGTACAGGCTGGCCTCAAAATCATTATTTTCCTGTTTCCATTTCCCAAGTGCTAAGATTACTGGTATGTATCATCATATCCACAGCTAGTTAACAGCTGAAGATAGTATCTGTGGACTTCAGAGGCAGGTCTTGACATTCTCTAGCAATTAGATTTTGAGGGGAGTGCTTGTTCCTCTCTAAGGGGATTTGCCTCTAGATCTTGAAGCACATTCCTGGCTGGTTATGAATAGTTAGAACTATGTTTTAGAGAGCATGCTAATAATGTGAGTATATTATTTTGTTTAATTTTGAAAAAAATCTGAAAGGACTCGCCATGTAAAGTCAATACTTTGCTAAGCACACATAACATCAAACTGTGATGAGGTTGACATCTACATTTAGGCATGTTGTAATTCTTAAGGCCAAGCATTTTGTGACAGTGCACTATCTGATGGTATTTGTGCCACAAGTTAACCCTCGGAGACAAGGATGCTGGGAGAGGAAGGGGAACAACAGTCATCATGGAGGCTGCCTTGGGACGTACTTCCTTTTATTCAAAGCTTGATTTCATTACTCTTAAAAGGCAACAGAAGACTCTCCATGCTTCATGCTTGAATTTCTTGTCACTATATCAAAACAGATTTTTTTTTCCCCATCTTGAAACAGGGTTTCACTGTGTAGCCCTGGCTCTCCTGGAACTCCTTCTGTAGACCACCAGGCTGGCCTTGAACTCATCTGCCTCCTGAGTGCTAGAATTAAAGGCATATGCTACCACCAACTGGCTAGAGATTTTTTAATTAAATTGTAACATTTCGTGTCCATTTCCAAAGACAAATACATAGAGGATTATTGAGTTTTTAACCAAAATAATTGATAACAAATATGCCTTTAGGTATTGGTATTACAGATAAACATTAGAGCAAAATATTTTCATAGTGTGGTTATTAAAAGAACCAAAGAATGTTGTAAGTACACATTCTTACAGAACTACACTTTACAACCAAATTGATTATATACCTATCAGTAAAACTATCTACACGGACTTTTGGCTAGTATGCAAATATGATTTCATTCTGTGTAAATAGACTGTAAAAATATAGTATCTACTAAAACTGAATTACTGCTAAGAAATTTTATGCACAAAAATAAAGCCCTCTTGAGGGCCAGTGTCTGAAACATAGTACCTGGGAATTGTTCCTTTAACAGAAGAGCATTTTATGATGCCAGCCCTGTGACTAAGCTCTTAATATTTACGATAGACAGGAAGAGCACTGTTGCTGAGAAAAACTGAAGTTAATAGCCTTGCCTCATCTGTTGCCCCTCTCATAGATGGAGGCCACTATTTCAATTTATCCACAGTTGAGACTGTGCTATGTATGTCAAGGTCAGACTTGGCTGTTCTCCACATTTAGGATATAAAGGATTATTCTGTCAGGGAGTGGGCTCTCACACTTGAAATGGCATTCTGGTCTCTGCAGCCCTTTGTCAGAGGTGGCTTTGAATTATATAGAAAGGTAGTCTCAAGTCTTTAGCTAACTTTGGGATATAATGGTTGTTGTTAAACAGCAACAAGAGCATTAGTTTCCCACTCTCTTGCTTCTCAGAGTGGGTGAATGGTATGGTGCCTCATATGCTCTAATATTTCAGTGAAGACTGAAGAGTTACAGGATGAGAATGAAATTGGAAAAGAGGCCCTTAACTAAAAAGGTTGGTACAGAAAGAATAAAAGGGAAATGTGTCAGAAGGTACTTGGACAAAATGTGACTGATATAGAAGATGGAAGTTGTCCCCTGCCCCCATACACTTTTGCTTCTAAATAGAAAAGAAGGTGAATTTGTACTGCAGGGGGTGCCACACATTTGAACATGGAAATTCGCATTTCTAGTTGGGGCTCTATTCACAATTTACCTCTCAGTGTTTGTGCTTTCCTGCATTCTCCAGATTTTCAAAGATTACCCACAAAAGATTAGAAAAAAGACATGTTTACAAAAATCATTACTATGTAATGATTTTTAATTATTAAATGGCTTGTGGTATAATATTACTGGTGATTGGTATGCAGAAAAAGGAAAAAAACTGAATGCTACTGTGAAATAGGCATATTTTTAGTTATTTATTGTGTACTTGGTCCTAAAAACATCAGTTGTATGTTATCCTCAAGCTGCTGTGAGTTGAATGAAGAGCTGTGTCTGCCAGTGATATTTGGGCTACTTTTATGATAATGGCCTTTTCATCCTCCTAACTATACTGTCAACTAGATTGCTCTTAGCCCAGGATATTAGCAAGTCATGTTAGGTGCTACTAACAAATATTGGATGCAGTCAATATAGGGATTAAAAAGTGTAAGAGTCTATTGCTATGAATGGTTAGTTAACTACATGTTGTAGGCAGGATGTTGACACTATGAAGTGTGGAAACTTGGTACTGAAAAGACTGAACTCAAACTTCATGGGTTTTGTTGATGCCATGATGAAAATGTGAATAAAACAGTTCTTTAACATGACTGTGGGGATATCAGGTTCTGTTAAACTGTCATCATTGATGACAACAGCATTTCCCAGTGGAATTTAGATGCTAGTGTTTGCACTTTGTATTTAAGTGATGTTAGATTTTGTTGGAGTTGAACTCAAATATTTTGTCTAGAATTGTGCTGCTACAATTAACAATCTGTTCATAGATCCCTGTAACCCTGAAGACAGCTGGCCCAGTAACCCAGGCAGTTAAAACAAATGACATTTTTGTTTTTGACACCTGAAGTTCCATAAAATTAAGTAGCAGTGTTCTGGTGACTATAATGTAAGATGCCAAACAATTTGAAATGTTAAGATTTTGCTTTTGTTATTATATATGTATTCAAAGGGAGGTGTAGGTTATAGCTTCTATTAAAAAGAACTTTCTATTGGAAAGTTGCAGGGATCTCATTAGGAAACTGCTTTTGCTTTAACTTTGTTAAAAAGGTAAATTTTGTTTTAAGTGTGTATTTTTAACTGTTTTAGTCTTGTATATTAGGAGATATTTATGTGATACAAAAATAACTATTATCTTTCCAAGGCTAACTACAGGTGTTTTGTCTCTTTGAATTGAGATCGTTGTCTGCAAGAACAGTGTAGGGAGAAAGGGGAGACAAAATATTCATTTATATAAACCTAAGAATAGTCTACCATGTCTAGTTATTTTGATGCCTAGTTAATGTTTTCCATATGTACTTCTGTTAAACATTTCAGCTTTACTGTTCTTGACACATTCTCATTGGTTTTATTACCTCTAGATTGAACTCTCTCAACTGTGATTGTGTGTATCTGATGTGCAATTTATTATCCAATAAATGTTATTTTATGATGGCAAGGTTGTGAACTTTTAAAATGTATACTTCAATGACTTTGGGTTTCACTAAAGTTAAGTTCGAAAAAGCTAATTGGATAATAGTTTTAGAGAAGGTGAATGAGTTACTTTACCTCACTTGATAAAGGAATCATATGTCTTGTTCCCCGGAATTCAGTATAAAGTTCCAGGATTATTCCAAGACAGCACTAGATGTCTACCTACCTTCCAGTCTTAGCTGCAAGGTAGTGGAACTCCACCGGACAGCAGTTGTCTAATAGATGGATCCAGCTGGGAAGGAACTTAGTAAGTAGTTCTCCATTAAGGGTTCCCATGGCCTCGGAGTGACTGTAGGCTGGCCAATCAGTCACCAGTCGTACAGGTTAGAACACGCCTACCAGGTGCCTTTTGCCTCGCCAGCCGCACAGGAAGCCGGAAGCTGAGGCCACTTCCGGTGTGTCTGCTTCCATCCGTGCTTTGTGCACTGACCTGGTGGTTGAGGCTGGGTATCTAGCAGTGGAGTTTGGTGAGGCATCATCTGTCCCATGGCCACCCAGCACAGCTAAGGTCTCAGCAGAAACTGGGCTATGGGCAGAGGACATGTGCCCCGAGGTTACACCGGACTGTACATCTGTGCAAGGGTAGTGTGATGAGGTCACGAAGACCTCTTACCTCCGTAGGAGATGGAGGCACCGACCATGCTGAACCAGAGAAGCCGTGTTGTCCCCTCAGCTTCTTGCTTGCCCTAGGTAAAGCATTTTCTCTGGAACCTGTCAGCAACTTACTTTTGGCGTGCTGTGCTGCTTGACTGACTCTCTGATTGTTACAATATGTTGCACAAACTTTTACCTCCCACATACCTCTCCGGAGTAGCTGAGACTAGAAGCACAGCTGGTTCCTTGGAGCATTTTTCTAATGTGCTGGTCAGTCACAGTGTGTTCTTGGCTTACCCTGGGTAATGGTTTCCCCTGAATGATTTTAGCCAGGATTATGACTGCACTGACGTATTTGATGTTAGTCCAGGTTTCTCCTCTCTATTGGACTCAATTCCTGTATTCAAGTACCTGAGATATCCTCCTTTGAACATTTTTGAGAAATCCAAATACCTGTCCAAAACAGCGCATGCATTTAGCCTGTTTGCCTCTGGAGTATATGGTACTCCATCCACACAATTGTACTTTCTCTTCCTTCCCTCCTACTGGTTCCAGTGTTTTTCTCCCAAAATTCATATGCTAGAATCTTAGCTTCAAGGGGATAGTATTAGAAGGTGGAGAACTTTGGAAAGTGACTAGGTCATGAATATGGAACCCTTATTTAGTTCCCTTATAAAAGAAACTTCAGAGAACTAGCCAGCACTTTCTACCATATGAGGGACCATCAAGAGGGCACTATCTGCCCAGCGGTGGTGGTACACGCCTTTAATCCCAGCACTTGGGAGGCAGAGGCAGGCTGATCTCTGCGTTCTAGGCCAGCCTGGTCTACAAAGTGAGTTCCAGGACAGCCAGAGATACACAGAGAAACCTTTTATGGGGATGGGTGAAGGGAAGAGGAACTATCTATAAAATGTCCCTTTCTAGATATGGGGTCTGCCAGCACAGTAGTCTTGGACTTCCCAGTATCTAGCAATATGAAAAACAAATCTGTTATTTATAAGCTGCCCCAACTCCTCATCTATTCTGGCATGAGTTTCTGTGAATACCTCAAAAATATTACTCATAAGGTGATGGGCATATAATTCAGTAACAGAATGCTTATTTAGCATATGGGAGGCCCTGTGTTGGGTCCTAGATTTACAAAGCAAAAACCAAAGAAAACCCCCATATGGAACCTGTTTCTCTACTTAATTGTCCTTATCTTTCTCCAATAGTAACTAAATCCATCCAGTGAACTTTATCCATTAGTCAACTAAAATAGTCTGGTAACATCTTGACACTTTCCACTGACATTCTGCTGTCCTTTTGGGGGGATGTTGTTGCACAACCTTGTGAATGTAAAAACATTTAAGGTTTTCAATACAACCATTCCTGTTACTTCCTTGCCGTCGCTGCTCTCTAGCTACCTGTGGATTTCCAGTTCAATTTCTTTGGGAATTGTACATATCTCTTTCAGGGGAGGAGAGGTTGGGCAGTGCTGGGGGCCTCATACGTTGCTAGGCAAGCATTCTCAGTTAAGGCACTATTTATAGAAACCACATGTCACGAAAGGGAAGTTGAGCATGAGAGTTTCATTGGATACAGAAAACAAAAGGGGCCAGCAATGTTAGCTTAGTTGCAAAGGTGCTTACTGTGGAAGCCTGAAGACCTAAGTTTGATTCCCATAACCCACATAATGAGGAAGGAGAGAACTGACTCCACAAAGTTGTCCTCTGACTTCCACATGCACACAACAGAAAGAAATGGAGGCAGGAATTTCAGAAGCTCAAGATCATCCTCAGCTACATAAGACCCTGTACTGAAACCCAAAGAGTTGAAATGAAGGATCAGCAGTGCCAGTCTGCTCCTTTTGGAGGCATACTTCAGGACAAGGCTAGGTCTTCACAAACATGCATGAGTCCTCATTCACTGCAACTATCCCTGGTAAAGCCTTATGTGGAACTTTCACCTGTGGATATTCTTGACTGCCTGGAGTTCAAGGTGCTACAATCCTGGTGCTGGACACTGGGTCAGCTGGCTCTGGGGCCTGTGATAGAGACTTAACTGTGAAGTTGTTTCATCATCTTTTTGAGTTATAGTTAACTTAATGAAATTCATCCTTTAAAGTACACATTAAGTTTTTTTTATATTCGCAAGGTTGTGCAACAACATCCCCCCAAAAAGCCCACATCAGCAATCACCCCATATTCTACCCTCACCATAGCCTTTGGCAATCACTAATTATTCTTGTCTTTAGTATCTGCCTAACCAGACATGCCACATACAGGAAATGATACATGTACAAACTTTAACACTTGGTTTCTATCACTGAGCCTGTTTTTAGGTGCATAACATGGTGTAGCATATCAGTACTTCCTTTTTTATTAAGATTTTATTTATTTATTTATTACATATACAACATTCTGCCTCCATGTATGCTTGCATGCCAGAAGAAGGCACCAGATCTCATTACTTATTACAGATGGTTGTGAGCTACCATGTAGTTGCTGGGAATTGAACTCAGGACCTCTGGAAGAGCAGCCAGTGCTCTTAACCTCTGAGCTATCTCTCCAGCCCCCCAGTACTTCCTTTCTTATTGTTTAATAATACTCCTCCACGGTAGGGCCACATTTTGTCTCTTCATTCTATCTATGTTCTCTCTTGGGGTTTGTACCCTGTAAATCTTTTATGTGATGATACAGCTTGGAAGAGTCAAACTGCAAGTGGCATTGTTCAATACAGACCTAAGTCAGAAAAGCCCACCCAGAATCTGTTCTCTAGACAGTCCTCCATCCCAGAACACCTCAGTAAACTCCACTGATGTGCTTCTTAGAGGCCAACATCTTCTGTATTCAGGGTTTCAGCAGCTTCACTGAGAACATTACCCAATACTTCTGATTCCCAAACTCACAACACAGTGATTTAAAAATTTCCAGGTAAAGTGGCACACACACCTTTAATGGGCTTATGGGCTAGAGAAGAATCAGGAATTCAGAATCATTCTAGGCTATATAGTTCAAAGCCAACCTGGATTGGCTATGTGAGACTGTCTAAAAATCTGTGATGGTTTGAATGAGAAAGGCCCCCAAACATTCATATATTTGAGTGTTTGGTTTCCAATTGGTAGCTGTTTAGAAGGATTAGGAGGTGTTGCCTTGTGGAGAAGGTGTATCACTAGTAGTGGGTTTTGAGGTTTCAATGCCAGCACCAGGTCCATTCTGTCTGCCTCTGTCTCTCTGCATGCTGCTTTTGGATTAGATGTAAACTTGGCTACCGCTCCAGGCCATGTCTGCCTGCTACCATGATTCCCACCTTGCTGTAATGGACCAACCCTCTGAAACTCTACACAAGTTGAAAATCTCTCTCTCTCTCTCTCTCTCTCTCTCTCTCTCTCTCTCTCTCTCTCTCTCCCTCTTTCTCTCTCCTCTCTCTCCTCTCTCCTCCCTCCCCCCCCCTCTGAGACAGGATTTCTTTGTAGCTTTGGAGCCTGTCCTGGAACTAGCTCTGCAGACCATGCTGGCCTCGAACTCACAAAGCCCCTCCTGCCTCTGCCTTCCTAAGTGCTGAAATTAATGGGGTGAGCCATCACTGCCCATAAATGCTTTCTTTTATAAATTTCCTTGGTTATCGTGTCTCCTCATGGCAACAGAACAGTAAATAAGACAGAAACCCAAGAAAAAAATAAAGTAACAAGTGTTTTGTTCTCCAGATACTCTAGAGGCTGAGGCAGGAGCACTGCTTGAGCCCAAGAATTTAGGGCCAGCCTAGGCAACACGAAGAGACCCCATCTCAAACCATCAAGCCATACTAGCCAAAGACCCAATAAACTAAAGAAACAATAAACTGTAACTCAGACCTACTCTTAATTGTCTGGCAGTCTATGAGATGTGGTCTAGAATTTGAATTCTCAACACTGTGGCTTTCTTTTCCCTAAAATAGCAACAACAATAGAAAAATAATCTCCAAATCTGCTGGATTAAATGAGTTTAATCCCCATAATGGAAAAAAAACATGCCAAGTCATTACCAACATCTGTTGCTTATGAAGTAACAAATACCATTCTTTATTTCAATCAGAACATGTTTATTCCAAAGCCTAAACAGCAGAACTATTTCAACAGATACTGGGAACCACACATGGTTGGCACAGGGAAGTCTGAGGAACTGGTATAAATTGTGCTCCAAGGATCCTAAACTTCTTAATTCACAGGAATGTCAGGTTGTTTTTACTGCCAATTAAGAAACTGAGAGTTTGGTCCCTTGGATTTTTGGCAAGTGACAATTGTTTTATTACAATGTGTACTGTTGGGCATACGTGTACACTAGTAATCCCAGCATTCCACTGGTTAAGACAGGAGGATTGCAAGTTTGAGGCTATCCTGTGTTACACAGGAGTTTGTATCAACCAACTGCAACAACAACAACAATTGTACAAGAGTGTATTACAAGCTGGGTGGGGCACACGTTTGATCCCAGCACTCGTGAGGCAGAGGTAGGTTGATTACTGGGTTGAAGGCCAGCCTGGTCTACAGAGTAAGTTCCAGGACAGCCAGGGCTACACAGAGAAGCCCTGTCTCAAAAAACAAAACAAAAACACAAAAAACAAAACAGCAAAAAACAAGCAAGTAAACAAAAAAGAGTATATTATAAAAGAATGAAACTGTAAGTCATATATCTGATAAGGACATTATTCCAGAATATTTAAAGAATTCTTACAATTCAGCAAAAAACAAAATGACAATCCGTTTTAAAAGGGCCACAGAGAGTTATGGTGGCTCACACCTGTAATCCCAGGACTCAAGGCTGAGGCAAGAAGATTGCTGCAAATTCAAGGCAAGCCTAGCTGGCCCAGCCTGCAGAGCAAGACTCTGTCTCAAAAACAACAGAAATCAAAGGGTTTGGGAAACAGCAAGATCCTGTCTCAAAACACCTGGGGTGGGGGTGGGGGGAGCGTTGTGAGTAACCATTTCTTCAAAGCAAATATACATACAATAAACAAATACACCATTAGTCATTGGAGAAAATAAATCAAGATCATGACACACCACTTCACATTGATTGGGATAGCAATAATCAAAAGGCAAATACCAGGAACACTGGACATGGTGACACATGCCTGTAATCTTGACACTTGGGAGGTAGAGACAGAAGGATCAAGAGTTCAAGATCATCCTCAGGTAGGATTGTGAGTTCTACGCCAGCCATGAGAGCCTGTCTCAAAAAAACAAAGTCAATAACAATAATTATGTTGAAGGTGTGGAGAAACTGGAACCCTGTACACTGCTGATTGAAATCTAAAATGTGGTGTATACACTTTGGAAAACAATTTGGTGTTTCCTAGAAAGGTTAAACAGAAAATTATCACATGACCTAGCAATTCAATCTTTAGGCATGTACTCAAGAGGAATGAAACACAAAAACTTAAATATCAATGTTTATAGCAGCATTACTCTATCCACAATAGCTAAAGTGCAATTATACAATCAATCAGTGGATGAACTGAATGCCTCTTCATACAATGAAGAACTACTAGGAAATAAAAAGAATAAAGCCCTGATATGTGATACAATGTGTATAGATCCTATGATACTATACTCCAGAGGCACAAGGTGTGACAGGAACAGGAAATAATTGCTAATGTTTAAGAGTACTTTCTCTCTGATACTGACAATGCCCTAAAATGAGATTTGATGACAGTTGCACAGCTTTGAATACTATATTATTAACCACTGAACTATATTACACACACACACACACACACACACACACACACACACACGTTCTCTAGTATGTGCGATACTTCAATGAAGTAATAAAAAGGAAGCATTTTTGCAGTCTACTGTACTGTGAGGAGTCACTGCCAATTTTACTGAGAGGGACAGTTGTATTGTGGGATTGGTTTATACCTTATCTGCTGTAGATGCTTTTTAGATGTATAGATTCCCACTATCTTTCAATGCTTCCTTTCTCCTTGGGTTTCCTTGGGGGTAACTAGGGGATCAAACATTGAAAGCAGGAGGCACCCCTAACCTGATACCAGTATGTGCTAGGCAAGACCCAGAAATGTGGGAAAACCAATAGGATGCCTAGGATCAAGAGTTGCATGTGAAAGGAGAAAAGTCGCCCGGCGGCGGTGGTGGCATACACCTTTAATCCCAGCACTTGGGAGGCAGAGGCAGGCGGATCTATGTGAGTTCGAGACCAGCCTGGTCTACAAGAGCTAGTTCCAGGACGGCCTCCAAAGCCACAAAAAAAAAAAAAAAAAAAAAAAAAAAAAGGAGAAAAGTCATTTTCTTATTTTGGGGTCCTGCAAAAGGAAGCTGGATGCAAGGAAAATAGGTCAAGACTTTATGCTGAGGCTCTGGTGAAGCATGCATAGGCAAAGGAGATGAGGGAACCCCTACATCTGAACACAGTACCCAAGGGCCTTCTGTGCCATTGGACTCTTACTGCCATTACTTGTCTGGAGGTAACCTTATACAAAGGAAAACTGGGCTAGAGGCACAGAGGCAAGGTGGCATCATGGTCTTGACACCCCTTTGGAAAAGAATAATGTTGACTGAGTTTGTCATATAAATACAAGGTCTACAGTTGAATAGGTACCCAAAGACACTAAACAATCACTGATGTATAATCTGAAGAGAAGAAACATACTAGCTCTATGAAATATCTCAAGTAGCAAAACTCTAGCAAGTGTCCTTATGCCAACCTTTATAAATAACTCTATGTTCCTTTTCTTTTGGAGCTCCCCTTTGGGTGACCCAAGATACACAGAAATGACAGGTAAGCCAAATGATGGTCTTCCATCCACATACATTCACATCCTAATCTCTGGAACCAGCAAATGTAACATTAAATGGCAAAAGGAACTTTTGGTGGGTGTTATTCAGGATCTTGAGATGGGGGAGATTATCCTGCTAGGTCCAATACAAGCATCCTTCTAAGAGATTCAGGAAGGCTAAGGTTAGGCAAGATGGAGAATCAAAGAATATACTTTGAGGATCAAGGGGCCATGAGTCCAAGAATGCAGGAGGCTGCTGGAAGCTAAAAAAGTCAAGGAAACTGACCCACCTCTCAGTGTCTCCAAAAGGAAAGCCCTACCCAGGGTGATTTTGGCTGAGTGAAACTGATTTCAGACTTTAACTTCCAGAAGTTTTGTGTTAAGTCACCAAGTTTTCAGTCATTTGTTACAGCACCAATAGAAAACAGATACAGACATGACTAAGACTCAGAAGTTACCAAGAGACCACAGTGAAGTTGGCTTAGAGGGAAGGGTATGTGTGCTTGGTGGTAGTGGGGTGAGAGCTATAAAGGCTCCAGCCAGTAATTGTATGTGGACTGGGGAAGAGGTAAGGACAGGCTGAATATTGAAGATAAAGGCAGTATTGATGCCTTCAGGAGAATGGTCACCTCCCACCACTTGTACTCAAGGTCATACATCTCTCTCATCTGCCTGAACTGAGAAGGAGGACACCTTGCCTACGTTGATACTGATTGGGTTCTACTTTCTACTTTGAGAAAATAAGAGTTTGACATAGGATGGTGTCCCAGATCCAGTTATGAAACTCTAATATTTTATATAAATATAGCATTCTGTCATTTGAAAAAATGCTACGGAGGTACAATTTACTTATAAATTAACCTATTTCAGTAATTTTCCTAGAGTCACTGAGTTGTGTAATCATTACTATAATCCAACTGTAAACACTGTGAAAATGTCAGTCACAGGTCTTAAAGCTAATGGCTTATTTGAGAAAGAACAAGCAGACTTCCCCTATCCACCAGAGCAGTATTTACTTCTCCCTGTAGCTTTTCCTTATCTTGGGCTAGAGTTGCAACATCTTTTGTAAATCAAAAGTACTTTGATATAAAAAGATCCCTCAAATACAACTTTTTAAATAAAAGTGATATCTACCACCTGGCACCTTTAATTCCAGCAGTCAGGAAGCAGAGGCAGGCAGATCTCTGAGTTTAAGGTCAGCCTGGTCTACAGAGTGAGTTCTAGGACAGCCAGGGCTACACAGAAAAAGCCTGTCTTGAAAATAAAAATTAATTAAAAACCACCACCACCACCAACAACAACAAAAAAATTAGTTGCAGAAAGACTATTAGAGATCTCCCTAGTGAATGTTTTCTTGGAATGCTGGTGAGTTGCTCAAGTGTACACATGAAAACACATATTTTATAAAACAAAGCACCAAGGAGAATTTAAGGATTAATTTAAACCACTTGTGGCTCATCCTAACTATTCTCAGTAAGTAGTCCCCACTCTGCAGAGACTGCAGTTTTCTTTGTCCCAACACCCAGATCAGGCATCTTTGCAGACAGCCTCCTTTTGAGCTCCTTACCAGTTGAATATTCACCCATCACTCCTCAAGGACCACTTGCTCCTCTGTAAATCAAAAAGACACTCTGTGATTCACATGCAAGTAAGGGAAAGGAGAGACAGGAAGCCCTTCCCTGGGACTCTAAAGCACATAGCATCTGTTTAGTTCCCATGGTGGAGCCTGTGGTGCTGGTGGAGATTTGAGCTTTGGCGAAAGCTTTTCCCACACTGGCTGCACTGGTATGGTTTCTCCCCGGTGTGGATTCTCTGGTGCAGTTTCAGAGTTGACTGCCTTCCAAAGCAGTTTCCACACTCCCCACAGATGTAGGGTCTCTCTCCTGTGTGTACTCTCTTATGTCGTTTCAGCTCTGAATTCCATGTGAAGCTTTTCCCACAGTCATCACATTTATAAGGTTTCTTTGCTGAGTGGGCTGCCTGGTGACTGAGACATTGCTGGAGGCTGCTCAGGCTTCTTCTGCCTTCTTGGCTTTTCTTTAACTCTCTCAGCGGGTGGCCTCTGAGGGGGTTGCTGATATATTCCAGTTCTCTGAAATGTCTCTGGTAGTAAGCAAATGCCTTCTGAGCATCTGGGGTACTAGCCTGCCTCTGTGACAATTGGGGCTCATTCATGTTCACCCCTCCTGGCTCAGAGCTGTGCAGACTACTCCCTTTAGATCTCCTGGATGGCACTGCGTGTGTCTCTGCTCCTTTGGACCCCTCCTGTTGTGGGTTTTCCTTATTGTCACTTCTCATCCTGCAGGCCTCTATAATTAGAAATAATGTGCTTCATTTTCTGTACTTAGAAAAAAGAGCTTCAGTAAAAGAAGTATGAAGTGTGTTGTGAGGGTTATCAGGGTGGGCAGCCTTCTGCTGGTAATGTATGAGCATCAGACTCCTCTGGACCCATAAACAAGGGGTTTCTCACCCTGACATTGGTGAATCAGAACTCTGAGGGTTAGGCCTGGTAATCTGCACAGTTAACTAGCTCCTGAGAGTGAATTTATAGTAATTTTAGGAACCAAATTCTCCTTATGTCCTTCCTATCTTTAGGAAAAGGTGTAGGAAAACAAGAATAGAAAGAACAAACAAAAGACATCAAAATGAAGTGTCAACAATGAAGAAGGAAGACAGTTGACATGCTTATTCACTTATTGACATGGTCTATTATATAGACTTTAAACTCTATGACTTAAGTGATCCTCCCAGTAGCTGGGACCACAGACATGTACTGCTGTACTTGGCTGAAGGTTAAAATTCCAATACTTAAAATATTTGAATAAATATCCCTCCCTTACATGGACAAAGGCCAACAATCTCTGTCACTTCAAAAGAATGATAAATTCAGCGACTATGGTGTTTTTCTCATTACAGTGTTGACAGCCTAAGGGTAATGAAATATAGAGTAGATATGTACCCTAACTAAAGAAACTGTCACCTTCTGGCAGGACTGAGGGTCAAGATGGATGTGAGCTAGAATGGAGCAGGGAAACTGGAGATCAGCAACAGCACTATCCAGCAGGACCTCAAAGTGGAAAATTTGTTTTCATGAACTGCATACATTTAACCTGACCCACACTTAGGAAGATGTGTCTGCTGAATGTTTGAAACAGAGCTCATGTGACTGAGGAACAAAATTTTGAATTTTAATTCATTTAAAATTCAATAAGGAGCTCAAACAGTTATTGCCAACTGATTTTCATCAAGGTTTTGTTGAACTTATTTTTTTTTTGAGACAGGATCTCATGTAGCCCATGCTGGTCTCAAACTCACTATCTGCCTCCACCTCCCCAGTGCTAAGATTACAGGCCTTCATCACCATGCCTGGCTTCATCGAGGTTCTTAAGAACAATTCAATAGGAAAGGAGTCATTTTTCAGTAAATGACCCTGGAATCACTGGAGTCTCATAAGTTTCAAGGAATTAAGTTAGATTCCAGTCTGATTGAATGCTTACCCCTAAATTTCTGTGTTGACAATCCCCAGCATAGTAGAACAGGGGTGTGATTGGGCCATAAAGATGGAGCCCTCATGAATGGAGTTAGTGCCCTTATCAAACAGACAAAAAAAAAAAAAGTGTTTCCTGTTTTTCTTTTCAATCAAGTGGGGACATATGACAGGTGCTATCAGTCATCCTCAAACACTGTATCTGTTTGTACCAACTTTGGACTTCTTTTTGTTTGTATGTGTGTTAGAGTGTGAGTATGGTGCAGATGTTTGTGTGTGGGATTTTGTAAAGCACAAATAAAGAGACCAGAAGATGTCAGGCCATGGGGATAAATCCTCCTGTCTGCTCCCATCCCCAAAGCACTGGCATTACAGAAGCATACAACTTGGCCTGATTTTGGGGGTGGGGGGTGGGGAAGGTTCTGGGGATTTGAACTCTGCAAACACTCTTACCCACTAAGTCAACTCTTCAGCTGACCTTGGACTTAACTTTTGAATCGGTTAACAATAAATTCATTATTTATTGCCCAGCCTAAGGGACTTTGTTATAATAACCTCATTAACACAGACAAAATGTCACTTATAAAAAACAAACTCAAAATGAACTGAAGACATAAATACAAGAGCTAAACTTAACTCTTTAGCTCAGTGGGTAAAGGCATCTATGACCAAGCCTGATGACCTCAGTGTCACGGGACCCCACACAGTAGGAGAGACCCGAGTCTCCAAAGTTTCTTCTGACTTCCACAGGTGCACAGAGCATGTGCACTTCACATGCATACAGATACACACAAAATAAATAAAAATGTAGTAACATTTTTCAAAAACATTTGTGCTTCATGGAACACCATCAAAAAACTGAAAGGATAATTTACAGAACAAGAGATAAAACATCCATGAATTAGCTTCTGTGAGGTCTAGGATCCAGAATACTTATTTTAACTCTTAAACCTCAATAATAAAAATACAAATAGTCCAAGATACAATTGGGCAACATATATGAATAGAATTTTTCAATAAGCTTCGAGTAATGGTTGAGGCCTGACATCACAGGATTTAGGAAGTGAAGACTAGAGAATCAGGAGTTCAAGTTCAGCCTCAGCTAAGTAATGGCTTTGAAACCAGCCTAGGCTACATGACACCCGATAACCAACAAAAGATACACAATTTCCTTAAAAATGTATTATATTTATTTTGTGTGTGTGCTAGGGGGTGGCTGCTTATATGACAAAGCATGTGTAGTGCTCTGAGGACAGCTTGTAGGAGGGAATCTCTCCTTTATCATGTGGGCCTCATGGACTAAACTCAGGTTGTCAAGCCTGGTAGCAAGTGCCTTTTACCCACTGAGTCATCTCACTGGCCAAGATATATAATTTAATAAACATGTGAAATGATGCTAAACATCATAACTCATTAAGGAAAAGACAATCAGAACCTCGGGTGATATTGCATCATCATCATAATAACTGGGAATAAGTGCTAGCAAGGATGTGGACCGGCACACTCACACTCTGTTGATAGGAGCCTCAAATAATACAGCCACTTTGCAAACTAATCCAGTCATTCTTCAAAGACAAACAAACAAGCAAAAAACTATGGTCATGCTGGCCTTTAATCTCAGCATTTGGGAAGCAGAAGCAGGTGGATCTCTGTGAATTCAAGGCTAGCCTGGCCTACATAATGAGCTCCAGACCAGCCTGGCTGCACAGTGAGACCCTGTCTCAAAAAAAAAAAAAATCAGTTATTATATGTAATTTTAAAAGGTGGGAACTGGCCAGGAAAATGACCAGGTAAGTGAAGGTACTTGTTACTCAAGCTCAGAGACTGGAGCTTGACTCCACAAAGTTGTCCTTTGACATGCACAGTGCCATGTGCACTGTGGCACTCAGGCCCCACACATCACACACACACACACACACACACACACACTAATTAAAAGGTGGTTGTATGCAACACACTTGCATTTGCAGAACCATGAGATGCTATGATAGAAATAAAGAGCTAATGAGAGGGCCCAAGGATAAAGATGTTTACCTGTCTCAGTCAATTTGGGGACTGCTTCCTGGTAGAGGGGATATTTCTCCCAATGATGGGGACTCAGTTGGTCATGAGATCCTTCCCAGGAAGGCTCTTCCAGTGAGTTCTCTTGAGTATCTCTGCTAGGAGTTTGGGGTTGAAAGTCCGGCAGTTCTTGTTCTACAAGCTGAGGCCCTGTTTTCTCCAGGAGCACCTTTTGCCCTTGCATACAAACGGCCACCTAGGAAAAGGGCTATCCATTAATTCTCCATTTCTTGACAGACTGGAACAACATGTGCTAACTGCTACAGAGTGACTCCTTTACCCTGGGAAGTCCTGGTAACCACCTGGAGTTCAACTTTAAAGATACCACCAAGGCCTTCAAAGGATGTGAAGGAAAGGACACGGGGAATGAAAGGGAGGGGCTGCTTCAGTCAGCCAGTACTTCCCAAGTAGGTGCCCAAAGCTGGGGCTCTTCACATGGCCTTGAGCCAAGACCATCAGAAGAGGGCTGGCAAAACTATCAGGATCAGTGATAACAGTGCCCCTGCCCCCAACCCTCTCTACTTCTGCTACAGAAAACAGTATGGTAAGGGGCCACTGGAAAGCATTCCAATTTGGGACTTTTTTTGCCGAGAGGTCCAAGGTACTCAGATCTAAGAAGACGAACCCACCTGTTCCCTCAGAGTGCCATTTTCCAAAGGACATCTGCCTTGCTTCTTTCAGAGGCTCCACCAGAGGTCTAACTTTGGGCTTTGGAATTGGGATTGGGGTGGGGCAGCAACAGCAGGGGAATTGAGCTGAAACTTTCCCGCTCAAAGGTAATATGGTAGACCCTTCACTGGACCAAAGTCCATGGAACTTCAACCAAAATTAGTTTCCTATCCAAGAGGCCACACCTGTTAGCCAAGAGCCCCGATTGTAGCAAATTTGGGACTGGGAAGACCTGACAGAACCTTAAAACACCTCTTCTAAGGTCATGAAGGAATACCTTAGTCCTCTACCTCCTCACTGGGTGCCAGTGGCTGGGTTTTCAAAAACCCTGTTACAACTTTTTTAGGAGGTAAGAGAGTCCCTGGAGGCTGGAGGCAACTTCTGAAGCCATCCATTCCTCTGGAATCTCTCTAACTAGCTAGGGATCATGAGATAAAACACTACCTCAAAAGCAACAAAGAAATCCTGGGACCCACAGAAAAAGGACCCTCCTTACCCACTGCTTTGGTTTTTTGGATGCTCTGTGCAAATCTTCCACCAGAGTCAGAATCTCCTTGCTGCTCCTTGGATATCGATGTCTGACCTGCGCCTGGATCTCTGGAGGTAGGATGAGCAGAAACTGCTCCATCACTAGGAGCTCCAAAATCTGCTCCTTCGTGTGTAGTTCGGGTTGCAGCCACTGTCTGCAGAGCTGTCGAAGGCGAGAGAGCGCTTCCTGAGGTCCAGAAACTTCTTGGTAACAGAAGTGTCTGAAGCTCTGGCGGGAAAGTTCTGGATCCAAGTAGGCTTTTTGCTGAAGGAGGCCACGTTTTTCTTCCAGCTTCATTATTATGTGTCTCTCTCTCTTGTCAGAATCCTCGGGGTAGGTCCTCAAAGTTATCTCCATTTTAGCTGCCATTTTGGGGGATCGGGAAACAACGTCACTCTAATCGTAAACTGATCAAATCCTCTGGGTCATTGCTCTGGAGAAATCTCTCTGAAGGCTAGAAAAAAAAATGATAGAAATGAAGCTCCTCTGGTAGTGTTAGGGATGGAAGGGCTGCAAAGACATAGCTTTCTCATTTGCTAGCCTTTACCTCAGACTCTGAAGACCAGACAGTTCCTGACAGTGGGAAGAGTTGGTCTTTTTGTCCGTTTTTAAGGAGAGAAGTCATAATTCAAAAGGGCACTGAGGGAATATTTTATTTTGGTATCTGGAGAAATGCACGACACGATCTAACGGGCCGGTAGAGGAATCCCCAGTAAAGTTCAAGCTGTCCTGCCAGTAGCTCGCACCAACTCTCCAGGACCCTGCAGACTCTTACCTCCAGTACCTCTGAGAGCAAAAGCGCAGCGCCAGGCGAGGCGACAGCGCGCCAAAGGTAGCGAGTGAGGCCCCGCGGCCCACTCAGCTCTGTTTGGCGAGGCTGCAGCAAGGGGGCGCGCAGCTCCACCGCAGTGCTGAGTGTCAGCTGCAGCAGCCACCTGCGACACCACTGAGGCAGCGAGCCAGCCAGCCAGCCAGCCACCGCCGGCGGGCGACGCACCTCTCCAGAGACTGGAGAGCGGGAACACGAGAGCACGAGCTGGGGGCGGGGCCGGAGCGGCCGCGGAGACGCCCACTGGCTGCGAGAGCTACAACGGGAATGCCCGCCTCTCCCCTACGGGATTGGACCTTCGGAACACCGTCAACCGTTTATTGGATATTTGATCTATCAATCAGTCGCAGTGCCTCCCGGGAGTCGTAGTCCAGTGGGTCGTCCAGGAGCATGCGCAATGTCCTCTCTAGTGTCCAGACAGTTGATTGACTATATATAACAATTGGTCGGGGAAATTGGGGAGCAGGAAGTGGGGTGACTCCAAGGAATCCTCCGCCTGGTTGTTTGCGGTGTGGAGGGCTTCAGGTCAGGCCTCACATTGGCCAGAAGGCCCTTCCTCTTAGGACCGGTTTTTGGGGTGCTGGGAAGCTGGACCCTGGTGTTGAACGAACCCTCACTCCAGAACAAGACCTTGACTTTCTCTGACCTCACCTCTAGGGTTTTTCCTACCCTCTGTGGCCCAGCTCTCACACTGACTCAGCGAGTGCTTAATGAGTAGAAAACAAAGTCTGCTCACTGCAGGGACTGACTTCAACCTGGCACCATCTACGATATGCAAGGGCGTGGGTTCAATCCTTGTCTCCACAACCAAATAATTGATAATTTAGTGATGAAGGAAGCATAAGGGGTCAAGGGCAGTCATTAAACCAGTAGAGCATCTATTACACTTCCAGAGGTACAGGATATGAGAGAAGGTGTAAGGCAACTGTAATTTAATTCAATTATTGAAGATCAACATTACCTTTTTCACAAACTTCTTCATATGTTTGAAGACATTAGACTTTCTCGCCACAAACTAACAGCTTAACCTTTCCAAAATGCATTTCTCTCTTTTTTTTCTTTTTGGCTTTTTTTACACAGTTCTCTGTTGTTTTACATTTATTTTTATGTGTGTAGGTGTTTTGCCTGCATGTATGTGTGTTTTACATTTATTTTTATGTGTGTAGGTGTTTTGCCTGCATGTATGTCTGTGCACCACGTGTGTGCCTGGTGCCCATGAAATGCAGAAGAGAAAACTGGAATCCCCTGAAACTAGAGTTACAGATGCTTGTGAGCTGCCACATGGGTACTGGGGATCAAACCCAGGTCCTCTGGAAGAGCAGCCAGTACTCTTGATAGCTGAGCCACCTCTCCAGCTCCTTTTATTTTTCACTTTTTTTTTTTATAAAGAGCTTTTTGTTGTTTAGACAGTTCTCACAAGGTAGTCCAGTTTATAATCCTCCTGCCTCAGCTTCCCCAGTGCCGGGATTATAGGCATGTGCCAGCATGTGCTAGAAAACGTTTTAATTATTTTTTTCTTGAGGATGGGAGATAGCTCAGTCAGTATAGTGATTGCCACACAAGCATGTGGACCCATGTGAAAAAACTGGCTGTGGTAGTGAGCCGTTATAATCCCAGTGCTGGCGAAGTAGAGGGAGGGCGGGTGAATCATTGGAACTTTACATATGCACAGGTGCACATAGAAAATTTTGCCTAAAAATTCACATAACATGAAATTAACCAATATAGAGTGAAGAATGACAGTATTATTTACAGTGTCATGTAGCCACTCCATCTAGTTATAAGACATTCTCATTGCCCTAAAAGAAAAGTTTGTACCGTATCTGGTTCCATCCTGTCTGTATTTACCTGTTCTCACATAATATCCCATTGTACAGGTAGAACAAAGTTCTGTTTCTATACTTGTATATCTTTTTCCAGGAAGAAATTTGATTGGATAGCCTGGAAATCCATTCCTGATGAATCTACTTAATTAAAAAAGGCCTCTGTCAGTTGCTAAGTAAATCCTGAATTCAGATGTAGAAGAATAAGAATAAATCCTTACTTCTCACTTTGCAGAAAAACCAACTCCAAATGGACCAAAGACCTTAATATAAGAACTGAAACTGACAATGGTAGAGGAAAACAAAGGGCAGATGTGCCAAGATGTAGGCATAGGTGCCATGCTTTCTGAGAACACTCCAGTTGCTCAGGAAACACATTATTGACAAATAGAACCTCATGGAATTAAAAAGTGAGGCAGCTGCCAGTCAAACAGCTACCTCTTCCAGATGTCAACATGACAGCCACAAATGTCTTGACAGCAAATCTCACAGATGCTCGAAAACCTCCAATCCAGTCTTGGAAACTTGAGGTTCAGATGCCCAGAGAAGATTTCATTACAGCCTAGATATTGCCCTGCTGTCACCACCACAGACAGCCACAGTCTCCCTTTACCCTGGGAGACCCTGCTTTAGTCATGGCTGCTCCAGGGACCCCGTGGCTCTGAAAGGTGCTCCTCCCAAGCAGGGACTGCTATGATGCCCTTAGGTGGGGTCATTTAATGTTGACTTAAGTAGGCTGCCTCATCTCTGTGCAAATGGAGTGCTGGAGTTATAGTTGCTGTAGGATCTTCAGGGGCTGCTGCAATAATGTTTACAACACCCCCCCACCAACTCACCCCCACCTGGCAGTGGTTGGGTGCTATTTCTCAAAACAGCCATTGAGGCTGTGTTAGAGGGTTTGACAGCTGCCAATCAAATACTCTAGCCCACAAGACAACCACAATTTATTTATTTATTTATTTATTTATTTATTTATTTATTTATTGCAAAACTAGGGTTTGAAGTCAAAACCTCATGCATTCCAAGCAAGTGTTCTATTATACCACTGAGCTTTATACCCAGCTTCAATCATTTTATTTTTTATAATAATTTTTTTCTTGAGGATTGATTTTTTTTTTCAAGACAGGATTTTTCTGTGTAGTTCTAGCTGTCCTGGAAGTGGCTCTGTACACCAGGGTGGCCTTGAGTCTAGAAATTCACCTGCTTATGCCTCCTGAGTGCTGGGGTTAAAGGCACTTCCCCACACTACTCACCTGAGAATTTATTTTTATTTTAATTAAATACTTTTTATGTATTCAGTTGATTTGTCTCTACTTAGGTCTGTGCACCACATCTATGCCTGGTGCCTTTGGAAACCAGAAGAAGATATTGAATCCCATGGAACTGGGGTTAAACACAATTTTGAGTCACCATGTGGCTGCTGGGAACCAAACCAAGGTCCTGTGGAAGAGCAGCTCCTTAACTGTTGAACCATCGTTTCAGCCCCACTGTTGATGACTTCATACTGTGGACAATAAAAGGTGGTCATATTCACTCCCCAATCATTTTTAAAGGGAGGAGAACAACTGGGTATAATAGAGCACACCTCTAATCCATACCTTTGAAGGATAAGGCAGGAGGATTCCATGAGTTTAAGGCCATTATGACCAACAGTGTGAGACCCCCATCTCAAAACAACAACAACAACAAAAGGACAAAATTATTAGGGATTCTTTACAACAGAGACCCATGATGCCCTCACTCCCAATTACATTCAGTTTCTCCCCGCATCCTGTGTCTTTCCACTTTCCTAACTCCGAGTCAGTTTTAAGGTGTCCCATCCTTTCCAGAAGGAAGTTCTGCAGAACCCCAAAACATTTGAAGAATGACTCTCTTTTCTTCCTATATTTCCTGTAGTTATTTCAAAACTCAAATGAACTGGCCAGAGGACATTACTCCCCCATCTCCTTGGCTTTACTACTCCATGCATCAGCTGCATTCTGCTTCCTAGATTAGCTTTAGGAGCTTAGGCACTGTAAGCTCGTCTCTGAGAACTTGATCTGATCCAGTGTGCCAATGTGTCATCCAAGATGACATAGTTTGATAAAGTCACCAAAATAATATTAGTTGGCTCATTCTGGAGACAAATTGACTATTGTTATGGACAGAACTGAAAAATCAGGTTGTGGCTTTGATCTTAGCTAGAAAAATAAATTTAGGACAGGATAATATTGTTAGTTTCTTTAGGGAAATTATGAAAGTGTGGAAGGGAAAATGTATCACTGGTTGTCCCATTATATCCAAGGGACAAGATAACCCAAACCAGAAAAATGTGAAAATGGTTTGCATGGAAAGGTTAGTTCTTACCATAAAAAGGAGATTGACAGTCATAATTTAATTTCATTCACTGAGCACTTACAGAGCATAGACTTTGTGACAGGTATGTGTTTCACAGGTGGAAACAAAGCCGAAGACACTTTGAAACTCCTTCTAAACCCACTGATTTCCTTTTTTCCTAGTAATGTAGCTGCTAAATAGCTGTCCCATATTATCCTGGCTTCTGTCTGGGCACAGGGTGTTAACGGTGGTGGCAGATGGGCATTCTTTTGGCCATGCTAGTAATGGGAAGAGCCATATGGGTGTTATGATTTCAATTCACAAGTGTCTTGAGATAGGTTTTGTTCTAAACCAATCACTGGGTTCCTGTAACAGTGATGCTAGAGGACCAAAACTTGAAG